ATTAAATGACTTGAAAAACTGACTTTTGGTTGTTAGTGCTACATGAAAAAGTCAGAGTATTTCAGAAAATGATGAAACTTTTATGCAAAGCCATATCAAGGATTTACGAAGAAAAATCTAACAGGAAATAAAGTAAAATATTCTTGTTTCGGAAATGCTTGAAGTTTCTGCCAACCCAACTCTACATCATAACTTTTCAATCCAGATGGATGGGGCAACCATTACTGCATCCAAAATGGTGAAAAGCCTTGGAGTAACGATTGATGACCAACTAAACTTCTCTGACCACATTTCTAGAACTGCTCGATCTTGCAGATTCGCACTCTATAACATCAGAAAGGTCCGACCATTCCTATCTGAACATGCAGCTCAACTCCTTGTTTAGGCTCTTGTTCTCTCCAGACTGGACTATTGCAACTCTCTACTAGCCGGGCTTCCAGCTAACTCTATCAAACCTCTTCAGATGCTTCAGAACGCAGCAGCACGAGTGGTCTTTAATGAACCTAAAAGAGCACATGTCACTCCGCTACTCATCCGTTTGCACTGGCTGCCAGTTGCTGCTCGCATTAAATTCAAAGCTCTGATGTTTGCTTACAAAGCGATTTTTGGCTATGCCACTTCTTATCTGCTCCCACTTCTGCAGATTCATGTGCCCTCCAGAAACTTGCGTTTTGTGAATGAATGTCGCCTTGTGGTTCCATCCCAAAGAGGGAAGAAATCACTTTCTCGAATGTCAGAAAATAGTGTCCAGAAATATGTACAAAACTACTTATAATCACAGTCGATATGGAAGTTTGATATATGGCAATATATACAAACTACATAAACTGCATAAAATTTAATGTTTAGATTTGACATATAAAACATGTCATGGTATATTTCAAAATATTTCCAATTACATATGTTTTCAATGGCGATGTGGTGGCACTTGGGTAGCACATTCGCCTCAAAGCAAAAAGGTCGCTGGTTCGTGCCTCGGCTGAGTCAGTTGGCGTTTCTGCGTGAAGTTTGCATTTTCTCTCCGTGTTCGTGTGGGTTTCCTCCCGTTGCTCTGGTTTCCCCCACAAGTCCAAAGACATGCAGTACAGATGAATTGGGTAGGCTAAAATTGACCGTAGTGTATGTTTGTGAGTGTGAATAAGTGTGTATGGATGTTTCCCAGTGATGGGTTGCAGCTGGAAGGGTATCCGCTGCATAAAACATATGCTGGATTAACATTGAGGCAAAAAATAAAAATAAAACTAACCAAGAGGCACAGTGAACAATCAATGGGGACTACAGATACCAAACTTGTACAGTAGAAGATTGAAGAAAAGTTGAATCCACTATATGTACAGTTGAAGTCAGAATTATTAGCCCCCTTGAATTATTAGTCCCCCTGTTTATTTTTTCCTCAGTTTCTGTTTAATGATAAGAAGATTTTTTAAAAACACATTTCTAAACATAATAGTTTTAATACCTCATTTCTAATAACTGATTTATTTTATCTTTGTCATGATGACAGTAAAAAATATTTGACTAGATATTTTTCAAGACACTTCTATACAGCTTAAAGTGACATTTAAAGGCTTAACTATAGGTTAATTAGGTTAACTAGGCAGGTTAGGGTAATTAGGCAAGTTATTGTATAATGATGGTTTGTTTTTTAGGCTATCGGAAAATATATATATATTAAAGGGGCTAACGATTTTGACCTTAAAATGGTTTCTAAACAATTCAAAACAAAAAGTCCTTCCTCTGATAAACATCATTTGGGAAATATCTAAAAAAGAAAAAAAATGGGTAGGGGGGGTATGCTAATAATTTTGACTTCAACTGTATATATATTATAATTGTTTCGAGAAGTGACAGTGGTGTTCAACTCTTCAATCTGCTGTGTTTTTGCTTGGGCAGAGACTCAGAAATAGGCTGGTAGGCAACCAATAACTGTTGACAGTTGAAAAGATAGTTGATAGCCTGAATGTTCAAATAAAACATCCCCAAGCACATCAATTGCTCTCTCTCAATGTGCAAATCACTATTGATACATGGAGGGTGGACGCATGCTTTTAAGTTGATGACGCCAAATTCTGACCCTACCATCCAAATGTTGCAGAAGACATCTAGACTCATTAGACCAGGCAACGTTTTTCCAATCTTCTATTTTCCAATTTTGCTGAGACAAATGAGATGCTCTGCTGCATACCTCAGTTGTAACGAGTAGTTATGGCCAGTCTGGCCATTTCCCTCTGACCTCTGGCATCAACAAGGCATTTGCACCCAAAGAACTGTATATTTTCTCTTTTTCGGACCATTCTCTGTAAACCCTAGAGATGGTTGTGAGTGAAAATTCCAGTAGAAACATTTCATATTTATTAATTTTTTTTTTATTTAACAGTATCACGCTTTAATATAACTGCAGTAGCCTTCAGTTGGGGAAGAATAGGCAAGTGAATCTCATCCAAACATGTGGCACAAGATGTGCCAAAGAATTACGGTGAACCCATGGTGAGCTTCACTGCATCAGGTTTGTTCTTTCGAGCTGAATCAGAGACAAAAGTCTTATCATTGATCCAAGTTGTTTGAGCAACAAACAATAACTTTGCATGGACCCAAGATTCACACAGAAATCAGTCAAGTTTGTTAAAGGAAAAATCAAGGTTTGGGGTTACATTTAGTATGTGGGTGTGCGAGAGATCTGCAGATTGGATGGCAACATCAACAACCTAAGGTATCAAGACATTTGTATTTCCCATTACATTACAAACCACAGGAGAGGGCCAATTCTTTAGCAGGATAGCGCTTCTTCTAATACTTCAGCCTCCACATCAAAGTTCCTGAAAGCAAAAAAGGTCAATGTGCTCCAGAACTGGTCAATCCAGTCACCAGACATAAACATTATTGAGCAAGTCTGGGTAAGATGAAGGAGGAGGTATTGAAGAAGAATTCAAAGAATCTTGATGAACTCTGGGAGTCCTGCAAGAACGCTTTCTTTGCCATTCCAGATGACTTTATTAATAAGTCATTTGAGTCATTGCAGATATGTACGGATGCAGTCCTCCAAGCTCATGGGAGTCATACACAATATTAATTCTTTTTCCACTGCACCATGACTTTATATTCTATTCTGTACATTATTTCTGTTAAGTGACAAGACGTTGGTCTAAGCAAAGTCAGACCTTACTGTCCTAATTAAACAATTAATAATCAAGACATGATCATATTTTATTTACGTAAAATAAATGTAATCTAGAGCCCTTTGCCTTTCATATAAGCCACATCTGAGACCAAATGATCAACTAGAAGTCAAGTAATTATTTGTTGTTCCTGAAACCTAGATAGGTGACAAGACTTTTGTCAGGTAGTGTACTTTGCATGTCTATCTTGCAAGTTGACATGATTACTTACATGTTTGTGATGGAATCAAACAGAGAAAGTTCCAAACCATGTTTTTGCATACAATGTGGCTTTAAAAAAAATGCTCCGCAGTGGTGTTGACCAATGTATTATGTGCATCTTTAAGCTAACAACAACACTGTTAAAAACTTGATTTTACCACAGGGACTTTATAATTACATGTAAGTTTTTAACTAAAAACCACAATTACGAGCCAAATTAACTGAATGATAAATGCATATTTAACATCATAAAATGTTTAAAGTATTTTTTTTTTACTTGAGTTTCAAATGGGATGTGTAGCCTCAGCTAGTGTGAGGTGTGAAAAAAAATCTATTTTTGGTTTTGTTTACAGTTTTGATCTATATGATAATCGGTTTCATCTGCTTCTAGGTATTTTTTTCTATATATTAACAAGGTATTTTAAATATTCAACATTGTTTTAATCAGCATAACATTTTGCATTATTTTATCCTAGATTATAAAGTGATCTCTAATATTGTTATTTTTTATCTGAGCAAAATTACAAATTTACTTGAAATAAAACAATAGCATTACAGAACTATACATGAGCCTTTGTTTTGCTGCTGTAGTATTAATAGGCCAAATCAGCACATTCTTCGGGGTCAGGACTGATACCATCTTTTGAAACTGCATGCCCCAGAAAATATGCAATTATAAGATCTAATGTGGTAAATAAATGGCTTCAGTAAATGCCAACAAGAAACTGAAGCTGTTCAAAAGGTCATTACAAACATCTACAGTCTTGTCGTTCACACAATGCTAGGTGCCGAGCCACCATGATTCATTCTGAAACATGAGATAATTAAAGCAACACCATCAGTTGCTCATCTTGACCCATTGATTTTATCAATGTAACACGTTACATGTTACGAAAGTCTCAAAGTAGGAATAGATGGGTCATTGGTCCTAAATTGTCTTTATTATTTTGAGAGAGTGGATTAATTGTGGGTGCTTACTCTCCAGTGGTCACTTCCTGTGGGTAAATGTGTTGTGTGTGCCTATCTAAAAGAGTTGGAGGTGCTGAAAGAGTAGGCCTCGTTTCCACTCACCCTCATAGTAAGTGGAATACTGAGGTGCAACTCACACAGTATTGCAAAAAAAAAAAAAAAGTTTCACTGGAGTCATAAACATGAAACATTTTACTTACATAGTTTCTATTTCAGATATTACCAAGTAAAACCAAAATTTGCACTTGGGTAACTCACTTTTGGGGACTAAATGAATGAATGTTAAAAGTTATTATTTTTTTATTAAAGCTCTTTGACCTCTGCAAACACTGAACCTATATGCACAGGAAGGAAGTATAAGAAATGAACAAGCACATGGTGTACAGCCGCGGTGATGCTTGCACAAAACTTTTAAATCTTTATATGTGGTTCAGCAGCAGTCTGAGGGTCTTCGCAGAAATGACGAGGAATGAACCCGCAACTCTGCAAAAAATAGCTGCCTTGTGGTCCACGGAGGATATTCAGCTGACTAGAAACTAATTTGAGTCACATTCAATTGTGCAAAAAATAGTTTTCTCTGCCATTAATGTACAATGCATCACTACTGTTGCTGTAATTTGCACAAAAGCTTAATAAAGTACACTATCTACACAGTACGTGTTAAAATCACTTTATTTACATTTTAAATAAATAACTTTGGAAACATTCAACCAGAAATCTGCATAATTTCCACTGACAACCATCCCACATTCACATGCAAATATTAGTGGTTACCGTAACACCTCACCACTGCATATCTTCCCTAAGAGTGTGGGATATCTCCTCTTTCACTTCTTGTTTTGAAATCAAGTGTACAATGAAACATTTTATTAAGCATTATAGATATATTATTCAGTCAATATGACCATTGATCACACAACCAGACAATAAATATTGGCATTTAATATACTTTCTCCTGATACAGAAGTATGGTAGTGTTCACGCATTCTGGGCCTCACATTTTTCTCAATAGATTTCCTGAAGAACTTCTCGGGCCATGCGACATTCAAAATCAGATATGATTGGACAATACCAAGCTGGCAGATTGCATTGCAATGAAGTTGTGAGGATTTCATGATGATCAGTGGATCTTAAAGAGGCCGAAATAATTGCTATGAAAATTTTTGCTGAGCAGATGGGGGCGCGAGACATTGACGAACAGCCAATCTAACTCTCTGAGCTGCTGAAGAGAACCGAGTTGGCTGCCCGTCACCCACGGGTGGTTCTTCGAGGTCATACAGAAGCCCTCGATGTTATCCTCCATGATTATCTGACTGTTCCCGTTTCTTTTCAGACTTATTTTGTGAGCAAGACTGTCAAAGGTTTTGCAAGTATGCGAAAGAAACTCCACGCGAGAGTAAACGAAGTACAAACCAGTCTCATTGACCTGAAGGCCACCGTCAGTGTATTTTACGCCATCTGTGAAAGCATCACCGTGATTGGATATCCACTTCAGAAGCCCAGGTGATTTACTCTGTTCAGCATAACCTGTTGTAGAAAAAGATTCAGTTCTTCAGTCAGAAAAACTTCAGCGTCATTAAGAATTATTTTCCATTAAGTAGAGATGACTCAATCCATGAATATAATTTCTACTCAGAGGCAAAGGAATTTTATTTTGCAGAGGGAAGATGTGGCAAATGGTTAAAGTGTCAGACTTGGCAACTTGAATTTACTGCACTTTCTCTCTGTCTGTCTGTCTGTCTTCTAAAGAACATAGAGGGTAGACTAGGCAAATTCTGTTGTTGGTCAAGCTATACTATGAATTTGGAAAACTTGTGGAATGGCTATTGAAGGGGAAATATGGATATTGATTTTTTTTATTGTCTAGGTTCAGGATCAGAATGGAACTTACTTGAGTTTAAATTTACATCACGTGTGAATAAAGCTTTATGTATACTATGTGGTGAGGAGATTATTTAATTGATGATGTTTAATGATCAGATAGTGTCTCTTTGAGGTTTTAACATTAATTAAAGGGTTTCAAAGTCCCTCTTTTTCTCAAACTTGAAGGAGAGATACAAAATGGAGAACTTTTGGTCTCCATGCTAAAAATAATTTGCCTTTTTGGTGCTTATCACAGTGGTGAAATGTATTGTTCTTTACCAACCAGATTGTTTTTGTTTCAATGTAATTTTGTAGGTTCTGTCGTGTTCGTTGAGAATTTTATACGTTTTTATAATGTTTAAGATACTTTTTAGTAGGTTGGGGTTAAATGTCTTAAAAACAATGTTCAAAAACAATGGATATAAGTGTTCTTACAACAAGAAAGAGACTTTATCCAATTTTTGGATTGGACAGACAAAAAGGTCACACTTTATTTTGAGGATCCGATTGTTGAATTTGAGTCACATTGCATCTACATGCCAACTAATTTCCAGTAGATTATAGGTAGACTGTTAGGTTGGGGTTAGGGTTAGTGTAAGTTGACATGTACTTGCAAAGTTTCTTATAGTCAGTTAAATGTCTGTTGAAGGAGCAGTATCAACAAATATTAAGCAGACAGTCTACTAATACTCAAATGGACCATCAAAATAAAGAGTTACTGGCAAAACTAGCTATCTGTAAGGCATACAGGGCTGAACTGGAAGACCAAAAAATTAATGTGGTTTATCTGTTTCGTGGACTTTAAAATTTGACTAGAACATGAATACTATTGAATGAGCAGTCATGGATTGAGTTTTGGCTAAAAACGCATTAACAATGGTTGGGTTTTTGTAGAAAAAGACAACTTTTTCTTTTATTGGGAGTAACTCAGTGGCTGTCCGAAACCGCCTGCTTCACAATAGGTACTCCATTTAAATGTTTAAACATATTACTTGGTCATTAAGAGTATGTAGTACTCGTAATCATAGTAATATGAATGGAACTCGGATGTACTATGTCCGCCATTTTGTCATGATCACACGACCTACACGTGGGAGTTGGTCACTCAACTCCAATACAAAAATTCTCTTGTGGGGCACGATGAAACAGTGTAATGTCCATCGGATGAGCACTTCAGAAGCTCACCTGAAATAGTAGGACATTGGGGTAATTCTGCATACTGATTTTCATTTCTATGAATTCAGACATATAACTTGGCTCGCATACTGTTTTTAGCGTACTAAATAGTAGATAAGATTTTAGATGCTGCCAGTGTTTATCAACCACGTTCCTAGAGGACCACCAACACTGCATGTTTGAAAATTTCTCCTTTGTCTGTCACAACCATTAGATGTCTTTCAGTCTCTGCTAATGGGCTGATAATCTGAATCTGGTGTGTTTGGTTGAGGAGACCAGGAAAATGTGCAGTGCTGGTGGGTTCCCCAGAAAGGGGGATGAGAAACACTACTATAAGTGTTCTTTGTGTTCGGAACGCAATAGCTCTTACACTCCTGTATTTTAAGGTGTGTTTTAAGGGTGTATTATTGTGTTTTTAGATGGGTCAAATGGAGAGGACTGAGTTTTTCAAGTATGGGTAAAACCATACTTACTTTACTTACCTATCAAATGTGCAGCTGATTTGTACTTATTCTTTTTCAGCTCTGCAGGATTCAGACCTGTTGGACAATTACATATGGCATCAGCTCATCTTACTTACTAGCACAGCATGAATTATAAATCCTATTTGGGCCGCACAACTCACCAACTTGTTTCTGTGGGGCGCTGCTCTGCATTATAGTGGGCAATTCCTGTCATGAGAAAAAAATCAATGAGATTAATCAACTCATCAAAAATACATAGATACATAATACATAGAAGGAACTGTAGGTTTTATTTGGCAAATATAGATATGCACAAAGTTTGTCAACATTGTGAGAAACATGAGGTGTTAGACTGTTCTAGAGGACTTCCTGTAGCCCTTAACCAGTGACCACATGTTCTCTCTCTCTCTCTCTCTCTCTCTTGTAATACCTACTCGGTCGTATGTATATGTCAGAATGGAAACTGAAAAAATGATACTCCCATGCACATCAAAGACATTCGAGTGACATAACAAACACAGTGTTGGGCTGCTTTCCAGGCGGTGTATGAATATTCAAGCCTTCTAATGTTTTATCTTCTATCTTGCAGAATGGCAAAATATATTTATACGAGAACCAACAAAAATACAAATTTCACCTAAATGAAGACATCAAAAATATGTTAATGTTTACATTAAAAAATACTTTAGTAATTTATAGTAAATGCTAGTGTCTTGGAACCATACTATTGTAAAGTTTATTATACTTTAAATATTTTAGTATTTACAACTATTAATGAATGCTACAGCATATAGTGGTTTTAACTTTAGTTAACTAACAAATTGTTACTAATATTGTAGTATACTTAAGTATTTACTACACTAAACTGTGGTGTTATAGTATGATATACACATTATAGTTGTAGAAAAACTACATCAATCTGTTTATATTAATATAGTTGTTGTGTAGCCATATCAAATATAGACTTACCACAACAGATTCATTCAAATATTTCACTGTAGTATGATTCAAAAACAATATAGTACTTAGGATAACTACTATAGTATGCACAAGTTCATGCAGAGTTCCCAACCATACAAATGGCCCAAAACCTTTATAACAAAACTTGATTTTTGTTCCTCTATAGACATTCTATAAAATAATGGATAACTACATCAGCTATAGTCATGAATGCATTAGTAGATGTATTTGGAGACTCTCACATGCTCTAAGTTAAAACTTTGCAATTACATGACAACTTATTCTACAAAACAGCATCAGTACTACCAACCTACCTAGATGCCTACTAATATTTGACTACACTAATAAGAGTTAAATGACTTGTAGTTGCAAAATAGGCATGACCATCTTAGCTTGAGCTATCTTTCTTAAACCTAGTTTGATACATTCTGTAGGTCTTACCTGTGTCAGCTGTTCCAGTTTAGTCTGTAATCTCAGGATCTGATAGGCTCCCAGTCCCAGAGCTGCGAAAACCAGCAGGAGTATCAGCGTCACTACCCATGCCAACCCGGCATTCATCCCTCCCCAGCCTTTCTTCTTCATCTCGACTCGGGCTGGGGGAAACGTCCAACAGGGGACCAGCGGTGGCTCCGGGTGCCTGGGCACCTGCTGGTGGTAGTAGCGATGCTGTTTTGGGTGATTTCCAGCAGAATCCACCATGAACACTGGTTGGGACGAGTGGCCGAAGTTAGCACTCATGTTTGCAGAGATGAGTAAGTGAAGGTGTGAGTGACAAGAAAGTAGGACTTGTGAAGGTTGTTGCTGAGCATCAGTAGTTAAAAAGGTTGGTCATGCAGTGTGGTTTTCCCACCCACATGCACTCACACACACATAGAGGGGGAAAGAGTCCGTCTATCTCTGTCTCTCTGCCACAGATTCTCTCCTTTATTCTGTCACGCACACTGATGTCTGAGATATATATTTATTTTTTGGTTGGTGCGTTAGCAATTGCTTACTTTTGTGGCAAACCGAAATGCATGAAGGCATAACTGGAAGGGTATAATAGTGACATCATGGACAGGAAACCATTCATCTCGAGTCTTTTTGCATTCGCATGCAAATACTGCTCACACAGTAATTAGTGGCATTAACATGTGAAAATAAAGTAAAATGAATGATTGTGGATATGTATATACAGTGCTCAGCATAATTTCTCAATAAACATATCCAATATTGTTTGGTGCATTTAAACAAAACTATTTTATTAAATGGAATGGGTATATCCATTAAAATAAAAGTTAAGAAAATACATTTAAAACAAAAACAAACAAGTTATTGCAAAAACAATTTACAATATTTTAATAAAATTTTAGATTTGTTATGTTTCTCTTTAAAAAATCCCCAACCTATTATTTTGGTGTACTTAATTTTTAACCAATCTTTTGTTATATTAGTTATGACTTGCACAAATATATTATTGTAAACCATTCTACAGAAAATCTTAATTTAAAAGAGATCTGTGAGGGGTGTACTCATTTATGCTAAGTGCTGTATTTGAATAATCTTACATACATACACCAACTGACAAAAGTCTTGTCGTCGATCCCACTTGTAAGAGCTACAAATAATAACTGGACTTCTAGTAGATCATTTGGAAAAGTGGCAGAGAGTAGATTTTAGTTTGTTGAAGAAAAAAACATGGTTTGGCGGTTACATTCAGTGCGAGAGATCTGCAGAGTGGATGGCAACATCAACAGCCTGAGGTATCAAGGCATTTTGTGCTGTCCATTACATTACAAACCACAGGAGAGGACAAATTCTTCAGCAGGATAGCACTTCTTCTCATACTTTAGCCTCAACATCAAAGCTCTTGAAAGCAAAGAAGGTCAAGGTGCTCCAGAACTGGCCAGTCCAGTAACCAGACATGAACATTATTGAGCATGTCTGGGGTAAGATGAAGGAGGAGGCATTAAAGATGAATCCAAAGAATCTTGATGAACTCTGGGAGTCCTGCAAAAACGCTTTCTTTGCCATTCCAGATGACTTTATTAATAAGTTATTTGAGTCAGAGATGTATGGATGCAGTCCTCCAAGATCATGGGAGTCATACACAATATTAATTATTTTTCCTTATGTCTTTATATTCTATTTTGTACATCAATTTATTATTTGTTGTTCCTAAAACTTGGATACGCGACAAGACATTTGTCAGGTAGTGTATATACATATATACCTACATAAGATCAAAAATGATTAAAAAAAAGTACCATAGCGCACTTAATATCTTTAATAATTTGTGACAGAAATTAATATTATCTAAGGTAAATCAACTCAAAATCCAGTGGATGCATTTTCTTGAAACCTTGTTGTACCTTAATTGTACCCTTAAGCTGTACCGTATCGTTAATATGTGTTTCCCGAAGCTTCCTTAGTTTACCCTCTATATGTCATACTTTCAAAAACTTGGTCTGGACCACTCTGAGCTACACTTTATAACAGCTTTTTCATATTTAAGTCTTTGTATATAACTATTTTAAGTTGTACGTATATATACCCAATATTTAACTAGGTCATATTTATCTATATATTTTTTTATGGATCTAGATAAATGCACATATTTAGTGACAAAAAAAAAATTAAAAAGCATATAATAAAATATAATTTAACAATAATAAAAACAACAACGATAAAAAGACAGCTTTTAGATAATGCTTGTCTAACTTGAAACAAACTAGGAGCCTCCCTCTCTCTTTTCTCATGCTATATAGGCTACAGTATATGTAATTTTTAGAGCAGGATTATCACAGATAAAATACAAAATATTTCAATAGAAGAATTTTAGTCAAATTGAATTGACGTGATGTTAACATCCCTAGACCCATTATGACAAGAATTAAGAAGCAGCTGGGAGAGAGTCGGATGTCACTGATGGTGGATCGAGACTCAAGAGTATTTTTTGTTTAACAGATGTCGAACAAATGACGTTTTGAAAACATGGTCCTTATTTAAATCCAAATTCAGTACCCTGCATATTATTAGTGTCTACGTGGTGAGCAAAATAAAGTATAGGCCTGCAACATTAAAATTCGGACCAGATAAAGATTAGGAAAACAATTACAGTTTTAAAAACTGTTTTACAGTTTTACCATACATATCAAACCCTTCAGCACCGCTTGCAGGGACAGCACCTTACAACGCTGTAAGTAAGATGGTAAACCTTATGCAACTTTTTCAAATTTTATTTTGAGGAACACACCAAAAAATGCTATATCTTCAGTTAAAATTTACATTTAGAGTCTTCATAGCCTACTAAAAGACAATGTTATCCGGAAATGCAGGCTAGATCGTATAGTTAATGATTTGAACTCAAACAGGAAAACAAATTAGTTTGATTCATTAAGAATTTGCAGGATCAGTAATAAACCTTCTAAATAAACCAATTGGATAATTAGACAACAAAATCTAATTTTAAGTAATTAAGAACAACTCAAACAACGTCAACAAACGTGAATAAAAACTGTCAAATGGCTACCTTGATGTCAGAACATCAAAACTTTATTATAAGACAGTCCTGTTTTTTTTACACCAATGGTAGATATCAAGTTAATGTCGTTTTGTTGTTCAGATGCATAAAAAAGTTGCTTAAATTATAAAACTTTGTGTGTCACTAGTCAAAAGTACATCAATGGCTGGATGTCAAAAGGACGTCAAGGTTTCAAGAGGCTGGTCTATGTCTAAACACAGAGAAAACAAAGGATGACCTGCAGAGTTGTCGGTACTATGATTGATAACCACCAGATTCAATTAGTGGAACATTATAAGTACCTAAGTACTATTATTGATTCATTCATTAATTTTCTTGTTGGCTTAGTCCCTTTAATAATCCGGGGTCGCCACAGCGGAATAAACCGCCAACTTATCCAGCAAGTTTTTACGCAGGGGATGCCCTTCCAGCTGCAACCCATCTCTGGGAAACATCCATACACACACACACACACACACACACACACACACACACTACATACAATTTAGTCTACCCAATTCACCTGTACCGCATGTCTTTAGACTGTTGGGTAAACCAGAGCACCCGGAGGAAACCCACGTGAGCGCAGAGAGATCATGCAAACTCCACACAGAAACACCAACTGAGCCGCGGATCGAACCAGCGACTCAGTGACCTTCTTGCTGTGAGGCGAACGTGCTACCCACTGCGTCGGCCACTATTATTGATAATAAATAAAATTTACATTAAAAAAAATATGGAAAGACTATGTAGGACAGGCCAACAATGGCTTTATTGTCATCAGAAATTAGCGAAGTTTGATATTGATAGGACTCTGATGGTGTATTATATAAGGCCTATGAAGAATCCATTTACACCTTTTCATTGATTTGTTGGTTTGCTTCTTTAAAAGTAAAACAGAAGAACTCACTGTCTAAGGTTTTAAATGCGTGCAGCAAAGTATTAGGGGTAAAAGTGCAAGGGCTATCTTATCTTTTTTTTTTTTTTGGATTAATTTCAAATCCTTTACTCAGGATCTCAGTGTAGGGTCGCTTCAGCAAGTATCAACAGATTCAAATTTTCATTGTGCGATTGGTTTGATGAATTTCATTGAGAAGAGGTAGTTGCTGTTTTTTTTTTTTTTTTTTAAGTATTTATTAATGTTGTTTAATGATTATCTTAAGTGTGTGGCATGATATATGTTTTGTAAATCTAGTATGCTGCAGAACAAATCGGCCCAAAAGGGAACAATAAAGTTCACAGTAACAGTGTCATGGGCCAGGTTTGATCTGGGCTCCTCTATCCTGTCTGTTCTCTGTCTCAGCTATTTCCTCTCATAATCAGCGCTGGTGCGCACGCATTACTAACCTGTGGCTTTTTTCATCTGATTTCCCCCTCTACATATACTTGCCTTTTATGAAGCTGTTTGCCAAATTATTGTGTTTGATTATCTGTACACTCTGTGTGACTTCGATACTATAAATCCACCCTTCAGTTAATCCTTGTCTAAGTCTAGTCTAGTCCAGTCTTGTTTAAGTCATCATCTATTGCCATACCTATGATGTGTACAGCCACCCAGCTGTGTGGAGTCTGACCTCCTCACCTCCGTGCTTACCAGCACCAGCATCCACACCTCTACTGTAGACCTGTCACTGCTTTAAGTCCTTTTGGAACCCCCTCGGGTCTAGAGGGAGAAGCTTTCTGTGGCCATAAAACCAGCCTACGTTTATCTCTGACAACAGACGACAGGCAGCTGCCTTTGTTTATTAATAAACTTTCTGTTTGAGCATTTTCTCACTCCGTATTATATATATGTATATATATATATATATATATATATATATATATATATATATATATATATATATATATATATATATATATATATATATATATATATATATATACACATATATAT